AAAAGACTTGCACAAAGGATGCTCTCGTGTATTCTCACTCATGGCTCCTCCAGCAGCCGCTGCACTCCTCAGAGAAGGAATAGGGACATCCTTCAAGATGGTGAACCAGAACGACTCCCAACCCTAACACTTACATTCATTTCCCAGAGACTTAACCTAACCTAACCTTAACTACTACTTGCCTAACCCTAAACCAACTCTAACCCTCAGCTTTAACCTAATCCAACCTTAAACCAAGTCATCACTCTAAAATGTAACAGTTTACATTTTGGATATTTGTTTTTATATCCATAAGGATGTCAAGTGCCCCCAATGTGGCTATGTAAACCAATTTACATTCGCACAACAGGAGTAATGCCAGCCCCCACCCCGACACGCCCACACACAAAATATTAGTATACAGCAAGTCCTTATGCAGGCTCAGCAATTACACACAAGAAAACTACTACTCTGTACCTCAAGCCTTTCACTCAAACCCGATTAACTGTCATCTAATATGTTAATCGTGCACAACAGTCAGGGATCATCCAATTTTGGTTTAGCTTGACATCTAAAAAAGCAGGAGAACAGGCAGCGTGTCCATCCAATCTGAGGACATATCTCCACACTGTTGTGTCTCAATCTACGACTTCAAGACAACTCGCCACATAAACAACAGTAACATGACAACTCCCTAGAGTGACAAATCTACTGTGCAAGACACGAAAGCTTGAGCCAGAGACAACATTCATCAAGTGATGTGACCCAAAAAGTGACTACAACAGCTGCTGACCATGGCTACAGTTTCATTAAGGCATCTGAAATTCTTCATGCTGATTTGGCAGCAGTTGTTTATTTTATATTTTGTTACAACATTGAAAGGTACCAAACAGACACACAAATTATAAGCTGTCACTTGGTAAAAACTTCTGTACCCTTACATCAGCCATCCTCTGTTGAAGGGAATCTTTGAAAACAGAACTGGCTCCATCAGGCTGATCTTTATGAATTAACAGACCTGAATGTATCCACGCTTGTATACTGTTGTAACACCAACCAAAAACTACAGCTGAGTTAGGCAGACTGTGACAAAGCTGTTCATCCTGAAACTAATCAAATTACATGTGTTTTGCCTTCACATCCATTTGGATTTCACCAAACCTCAGTAACTCCTGTTAAACACATTGTCCTTATGAAACTCCGCTTCATAAAGACGATTTTCTCGTTCACCGATCCGAGCTGCTGCACAGCTTCTATTTTATGAAGGTTCAACTGATACTCTGGTAACAATAAAAGGCCCAACAACCCCCAGTGGAGGTTGTCATGGCTGTAAAATATATGGACACCTGGGAAATGAGAATCTGCAGAAGTAGCTTTAAATTCTGTTTTGGAAATCATCTGAATTACACATTATATAATTTACTAATAACAAAAGCCACTGACAGAGCACATACATTAACTGATTAGGTAATTCAGAGATATTAGCTTCCTGCCTAATGGTAAAGAATATAAAAACCAAATGCATCATCTCAATATTCTGTATACTTTACAATACTACACTAACTTAATTCTTGATGTAACACGTATTTTAGTAGTTACAGACTCACTTGCACTGTGCAAAATCTAATGCAGGTGCATGTATATACACTCAGTTATTTTATTAAGTACAAGTTAAAACTGTAATGTAATAGTCCTGTAGTGAATCCTTCCCTCATGAGGTTGTTAGTATGACCTGTCAGATTAACATCAGCACAAGCTCCAGCCTCCAAAATGATCAGATACAAACCATTTAAACAAGGGCTGTCAATCAATTAAAGAATTTAATCAAGTTAATCAGTGATGGACTGTGATTAATCACAATTAATCACAAATTTAAAATAGTATGATTTACCTGTAAATGTGCTGCAATAAAGAAATGCATGTCAAACTAGTTTAAGGTAACATATCCTCCAGTTTTATTATCTCAACAATTAACATATCTATTATAATACCATTTCAGAAATGAAACGTCTACAAAAACACAAAATGAACACTCTGTACATTCTTGATCTGCAGTAAAGAAATGTATAACAAAACTAGTTTAAGGAAACAGATCCTCCAGTTATCTCAACAATCAACATTTCTATTATAGGTCTATTTTAGAAATTAAATGTCTGTACAGAGATAAAATGAACAGTCTCTACAGTGTTCATCTAGGCAACAATCCTCCTGCCAACCAATCATACAATATACTCTTCTTTCAGCCAGTTGCTCAGACAGACTAGCTTATTAACATTTTCAGATGAAAGAGCACAGCTTGTTGATGCTGTATCAGCACTGGCATCTTTAGTAACATCTGCCAAAATATGTTTGGCCCGAAGATGGTACTTCAAACTTGTTGTGCTTCGGTGAAAGGACAGTTTATCACTACAATAAATGCACACAACTTTGGTTTTATCCAAACTTCCATCTGGAAGCTTTTTATAACGAAACTTGCCGCTCAGCACACCAGGCGTTGTGTTTTCTGCCATCATGTTGTAACACACGTTCGCTGTCACGTTACCCGGCCTTATCACACAATAGATAACCATCCGCGCTGCGATGACGGCAAGAGGTTGGGGTCAAAACTTATCAAATGATTAATTTGCGTTTTTTTTGATTAATCATACGTTAACGCGTTAACGTTGACATCCCTAATTTAAACTTAAACCGACTTATTACAGGACTGTTGGGTTAGACTGCACTAGTTTTACCTTGGTGTACTCAATAAACCGCCAACTGGGAGCATCTTTGAACACACACACACACACACACACACACACAAGTTGGTATTATGCAGCCAGTGTCCCACAAGCAATATTATTAAATTTCCTCCTGAGTTCCCACCAGGAATAACACTCCTGGTCAGAGCAGAGCAGGAGAACTAACAGAGCTCATGTTGCTACTCAACCATCTTCAGAAAGCCGTCTCTTCTATGACTGCAGGGACTGACGGTGTCAGTTACTTGGCTGCTTCTTCATCTGGGTCAAGTCAAGTTCATCAACAGTCTTACAGTCTCTGACACAGCGTGTTTTGACATGACACTGGGGAATTAACTTGATTTGAACATTTGCATGGTCCTAAATGTGCTCAGTGAATGACTAAAGAACACTGAAAATACATGACTATCAATCCAAAATAAAGCTGCTTTTCCTCTATTTTCTGAAGAGAGAAAAGGAGCATTTGACACTTGTAATCCCAGGTCTCCTGCACTGCATATTTTGACCAGATATAAAGTTAGAAATCCCTACCCCCTCTCTGCAATTCAGTGAAAAGCACAGCAATTTTGGCTTGATCTCTTGGCTGGCATTAATCAGGTTTTAAGCATGGGAAAATATAAAGTAAGCATTAACTAAAAATTAAAATCCCCTAAGATTAAACTCAAAGTACACAGCGAGCACTGGCCTTGTCTAAATTCATCTGCTTTTCAACAGGAGTAATTTAATATGCCAACTATGAACAGCTGGAGGCAGACTTAATTCAGCTGACTATATCTGTCATCCATCCTTTCATATTTTTCAGACTATAAACCATAGTTGCATGGTAGCCACAACACAGGTAAGTGGGCAGTGGAACTGGGACCCACAGACATTTGGATGAAGATACACAGAAAGATGACAAAGTCTGGAGATACAAGCAATGCAACCTAGCTTTCCCTCATCTTTGTTTTTACTGGTTGTTTGATATAAATTACCTTTATTTACAGTTAGGAAATTACTATGCAGCTCAAGAACAGTTTACTAGGACTAACACACCCAAACGTGTCAGGATTCCAAATACAGTGCCATACATTACATTTAAAACAAATACTAGCTGCAGATGGGTAATTACTGTCTAGTTTTTCAGCTACACCTCACCCTGTGCTCTCTCTCTCCCTCTTGGGGAATAACAAAGGAGCAGGAAAGAGAGGTAACATGATCCTGATGGATCGTGTGTGTCCACTACCACACTCGGCGTGTAACGCGGCACTTCTTCCACCATGTTGCTTAAAACCACTGCCCTTACACTTAAAACATTTCTCTGGAAGCATCAGTCACATAAGCATCTCATTGCAGTCTGTCCTTTCTCCCTCTGCTGTGGCTCAGAAAGCAGCTTCTGGCTGACAGCTACTGTTCACGCTGAAGAAAGGTCACGAGAGCCTGACTGAGTGCATACACATTGTCTACATGCAACAGCAACACGCATTGAGAAGATGGAGATGTAACATGAAGAGGACAGATCGACTATCACCTTTCTCAATTGCTTCACTGCTCCTGTTAACTCTTTGATATTCCATGCCTGTGTGAAAGCCAATTCATTCCAAGTGTGGCTCTGTGTATCCAATTTGTTCTCCTATAGCCTACAGATTAGGTGAAAGAGGTGAATTTTTAAAAAGAAACCTGCTTCTCCTTCTGTGTCCATTGTTCCTATGCAAACCACCTCTATCTACTCTGCGTACAAAGGATGTGTGATAGTTTGTACAGTGCTGCGTTTGCAGAAAATGTAAAAGAAATCAGACTACAATCATTAATACTCCAATTACAACACTGCTTTGATTAACTAAATATAATGACTCATTTCTCTAAGGTGGGTTCCTTCAGGCCATAATAACAGAAGTGCTATGTTATATGACCTTAGCCAACACTATCTGCTTTGATATTTAAGGAATTTTCATTTTCAGATGCAATCATTCCTGAATGACTCTACTCCCTGACAGTGTCGCAGGGACACAACAGTGTGAAACTCTGCAGGCTGTTGTTTTCTATTTGTTTACATTTTCCGCACCTTGTCACAAGGACAAAGAACCGCATCATGCTGTAAATACATGTTAACCTATGTTTGATTCCTGTCAAAATGTTAAAAGTCACCATAAAATAGTTTAATGCTTCACAGTGTATATATTATAGGAACACCATGTAATTTTACCTCTCTCATTCATGGCAGCAGCTATCCAATTTCCCAAAGTGCTCTACCACAAACACACAAAGCATGCACTGCCCAAACGACACAAACAGCCAACCTACCTCCATGGCTAGTGCGGCTGTCTGCTGGTCATAGTGATTTAGTAGATTGGGCATAAAGGTGGTGTTGTAAGGCAGATCCTGGCACATTCTCAGTCTGATGGGCTCACAGCTAAACTCACTGTGGCTCTCTATGGACGCCATGTGAATGGACAGAGCCGGTGTAACCAGGGAGAAGAGCAGAAGAAACAGGAGGAAAGAAAAACTGACAGGAACTCGCCATCCAAAGAAGCCTGTTGCAGTTTTTGAGAAAGAGTCTTGCAGTCCTCTTTCAACTGGTGGCTCCATCTTAATGTTGCACAGAGGAACTGTTTTTAAAGCTTTATAGCATTAGCTAATGAGCCCATTTTTAAAGTCAGTGTGGAGGTAAAGCAAGAAATCCGCTCTGCACATGCAGTGGAGTACAAATCATTTGTCAGCCACAAATGGAGCTACTCTTTTTGACAGTCTTCTAGTTCACCATCCATTGTGGTATTTGCTGTTCCTGTAGAGTGTCTCAGGATGCACTTTCTTAATTTCTCATTAAAACAACACAATAGATTGTCTCCATCTCCTGGCACTGCTCTGGTCAAAGACTGATTCCTCTTGTTCCATCCCCAAACTGACAGCGTGTCCCAGACATAACAGCCCCACCATCAGCCATCTGTTGGACGTCTTCTCTCAGCTGCCTTCCTCTCTTCTATTTTCAGTGATGCTCATCTGAAGCCCAGCCCACAATATGTCTTTATCCTCACAATGATTTTGCTGACTCCTCTACAAGACACCAATTCACATTCATCAAGCAGGTCCTGCAGGTTTAAAAACACAGATCCAACGTTAAACAAGCAGAGTGTTCTTGTTTACAGTAAAGTTGTGCTGTGTCTGTTCAGCCACACCCTTAGGTCTACACAGGTCTGTATTATACCTGATTAAATCTACAGCAGCCTATTAGGAGGAAGGTTAGCATTTCTGGCACCATGACATCCAGTATTGTGTAGACTTCATTTAAATGGACCTCCTGTGCCAAATCTGTGAGCGCTGTATCAGCGGGTTCATACACGATTTATGCTGCACACTACTGAGAACATGTTCACTCATCAGTGAGGTGTGAAGCCGGGAACGATACACCTGCGGATGATCAAACACCACCCCCACCCGCATGTTTGTGTGAGGTTGGTCGGGCAACACTCGCGCTCCCCCGCTATGTTTCACACTGCGACTCGGTGTCTTCACGGTTGGCCACACAGTAAACTTTATGAATAAGCTTGGCTAATATACTGTTAAAGACAAAAGCGCAAATACGGGTGTCCGTACATTTGTCAAGTTTTAATTGTCACCTGCGTCAAACTGCTCTTAGCCGACCGTTAGACACGAGCTAACTGGCAGCTAGCTAGCGTCTCTAACATTATTAAACTGATAACGTTACGCTGCACTTTAACATCAACCGTCCGCCGGCTGAAGGGACTACAGCCCCTTCAGCCTCGCCCAGCTAGTTCCACACAGGACCGACCTTTAAAAAACAGGCGTCAGCGGCACGAAACAGGAACCACACACGGTGACACGCCAGGACCACAGCGGAGGGAGCGCTATCAATCTCGGGAGCTGCGTGCGTTTGTCACCGCAGTGTCTTTAACCACCCAGCGCGCTGTGGTGCACGAATCCTTTTAAGCATTTGGTGTCCAAGTCTGTGCAGCTTTCTGACGATAACGAATTAAATGGAGTGCAAAGCCCCTGTCTAACGATACGATTATAGGTGATTTACCTTGTGAGAAGAATAACGAGCGGCTCACCGCAGTGCCTGGTCGCTCTTCTGTCTGCAGCCGGTTCCCTTGCAGCATGCTGCCGACACACCGTGACCGCGAATTCAGCGTGACCGCGCAGAGACGCGAGCAAATTGGCCCGACTTGGACGTTAGGTGCTGTTGTGGACGTACTACAACATGCACAACAGCATGCATGGATGGATACCTGAACGGGTCTGTTGAGTACACAGGAGCCTGTTAGAAGTTTCATTTAGTGTGGTAAAGTCAATTGAAGTGAAACTGCACTAAAGTGGTGAATGATCTTGTACTTACTAGAGACTCCGATTCCACCTCTGTGCATCTTTTAACACCACCTCTGTCTGCTCATAAACCGATTGGAAAACCAACTTGGTGTTTCAGGCTCAGCTCTCATGTGGTTCAAGTCTTACAAAACACTGCATTTCCTGTATTAAGACCCTAAGGCTCTCTACTTGGCCCTTTGCCTTTCCTTTTTGAATATTACCTCTCAGCCAAATTATATGCAATTATCACTGCTGTATGTGCCTGTGAAGGTATATTAGCATTCCCAAACTATTCTGTTAGCAGTCTGCTCATCTGCAGTGAAAAGCTGGATGTTACATAACTTTCTGGCTCCTTAATTCAGATAAAGGCCAATTCGGGATAAAGGATAAACATCTGGATCTTTATCCTCTAGGATATCAGAAAAAGTCAATCACAAATAATACACATTTTAAGAAATACTCATCAGTTATTCACAATATGGTAATATGTGGAACATTAGTATTATAGTATATGCACATGGATGTATCAACTAAATGGCACATTTTATCTTGCTCTGGGTTCCTTTTAATCATTTTAGAGCAAGGAGAGGGAGTAAACCATTGTTAAAGATTTGTAGTACACATGTTTCCAATTCAGTCAGTTTCAACAAAATAACATGGCTCATTTTATCAGAGATAGTCAAAGTAATAACGCATTTAACTAAATGTGGTTTGCTCAAGGAATTTAGTTGCTTTCTGACATATAAATATGAACTGCAGTAAATGCATAAATTGACTGCATTCTACAAAGCCTTAGATACAGGACACTGATTACTTCACAATGTCCCCAAGAACCCAGTTTCTGAAAATGTTAACTCATCAAGATATTGTCATATGACTTGATTTCAGTTCATTTATCCTGATATAATGAGCTTATGCATCTATAATATCTTAAGCCACGTCTACTCTTCATGTTGTGATTTCAAACACAGGCTACAGTGAGATGTCAACGTCATAGTGGCTGATACAGCCATACAGACTTGTTGTGACTATATCGGTCAACACTATGTCAATATTTATCCCTTACAGCCTCAGGATTTGTATTGCGTGCTATGACTCCCTTTCACTTGATTGAGCATGGCACTAGATTAACCACTTCATGGCTGATCTGATCTGATCCTCTTTGTCGCTGAGCAGCGGTGGGTGTGGGTGTGTGTGTGTGTGTGTGTGTGTGTGTGTGGCTGCTGGCTCACATACCGTTTCAGGTTCTTAATATGACCGCACTTGACATTCACCTACAGAAACTGTACATACACAAATGCACACACCACTATGTTGCAGTCCAGTTTCACAGGGTTCAGAGCATCTTTCCTGAAGCATCCTCTTAATATCTCTACTACACTGCATTTTTAGCAGCCTGACCTGTCAGTGAGATTTTCTGTAACTCTGGCTGCACACAGAAAGAAAGAATTTCCAACCCCCAGTTTCTCATTTGTTTAGTCATTGTGTACATCTTACTGAAGGCAAAAGTTTCAAAAATATATATAAAAGCATAATTATTTGATTAAAGGTGGGGCTGGCGATTCCTTTCAGAAGCAGTCAGAGAAAATATAAAAACATTAAATATAGTATAGTTGCTATATCTGTGGTGTACTGAACTAGCCAATGGTCTTTCCACAACAGTGAGCCAGAGTGGAAAGTAATGTCACTAACTGCAGTTGCTTATACAACAATTATCTAACAATCTAATTTAATTTGAAGCCAAAAACTGGATCTACCATAGTGTTAAAGATAATTTGGAATGTCCCAGCAAACATATGATTTCCATGACCTTACTCCACATTACAATTTACTAATGTGCATAGGCTGCTAGCACTGGGCATTAAACGTGTATGTAAGCAAACAATGGTTTGGTTGTGGTTTGCTGAAAGAATCTCCAGAGTGGTTTAGAATGTGAACAAACAGTAAAATATTAAACCCATGGAGAATAATAAAATACATTTGGTGAAATGTAAAATCACTTTATACAAGCAAAAATATACCAAAATTCAAATAAAATACACTTTTTAAAACATAAAAAAGAACTTTCTTTATAAACAAAGCTTTAGGATGCTTAGCATGACATGTTTGGATCTAGTGAAGCCAAACAGATACTGATAACTCAAAAAAATCACTGATATGCACAGTGAATATCTGTTGTATTTACCATTGACAGGTTTCATTAGGTACATATACACTGCCTTACCCTTCTAACCGAGTCTAATTAAATCTAAGTTTTACATAAAAGACAAACTGTTTAGTGCATAAATGAATCAGTCATCATCTGAGTCTTTAGTAATATGAATCCGTCTCTTCAAACTGATTCCCCTTCTGCTTCACAGTGACAACCTGCTGAGCAAATTACTAGTCTGCATACTGCTGCTGTAATATCTTTTAGTTGTGCTCGCCTACACAAAGGCTCCTGTTTTTTGTCCAGTTATGCATCAGGGTTCAAGTGCTGTTCAATCAGATGTTGGCTGTGGGCAGAGCACGCGGCCTCTTCCTCCAACTGGAATAGAGGATAAAAGAAGAACTGAGTATAAAATGTTTTACTTGGTCTTATCGTGAGCAAGTAAGGGAGAAACAAGCGGATCAGATGGGAGTAGAAGTGTGAGACTAAGTTGTATGTGTGCACACTGGTGTGAATCAGACAGTTACACCCCTCAAGCAAACCCAACACAAAGACACACACACACCTGGTCTTTGATGTAGCTGTTCCCACAAGGTGCCAGCCCCCTCAAAGCCAATCCAAAGATGAAGCACCAGACAGACAGTCCAGCCTCAGCCGCTGCCAACACAGCACAGGGAACCCAGAGTGCCAGAGTGGTGTCCTGAGAGACAAGAGGTGGTAGGAAAGAGAAAGAATTAAGGCAGCACTACAAGGCAGACTACTCCTCCTGTGATGCTTTTATGAAATGTCACACTTCAAAAGTTGCAGCTTGAGCTGTCAGTCAAACTGGGGAGGAACAAAAGCAAAAAACCAGAGGGATGGAGTAAAGTATAACTTTTTAAAGAGGAAGGTTTAGACTCACATAGATTCGTGTTGTGTCAAATGGGCACTGGGCACTAACAGGTGACCGAGCACTGATGGGCACCTGTGTGTCATTGCATCCCTTCATCAAACCCTGCCCATTATGAGCAACAGTGACACTAATTGCCAAGAGGAACCCAGTGCTGCACGCTGCGGAGAGCAGGGCGTTCAGGAATGACACAGCTAGAAGTCCTATTTGCTGGACATACAGACATGTCATATATAAACATAAGTGGTCACTGAACAGACACAGAGTGAGTGACTGAAGCGAAAACAAATTACATTCTTACCAGCTTTAACACACGAAGGTTATTTGACACCACAATGGCAATAATTCCAGCAGCAATGCTCTGTAAGATTTAAATGACAAGATGATTGAGTGGAGTAGTTCAAAGAAACGTGACATTAACATGTCTCATCATCAACAACTAGCTGCTTTGCAGTCTGATACTTCAGATAATGAAGCCTGCCCTAGAGCGACTAGTGACTGGTTTGAAAAACCAGCTCCCTTTAACTGGGCAAGTTCAGTCTTGATTGCTGAGAAAAACACACAACACTATAACTGACTCGACGTGCAAATCACCTGAGATACATACACTTGTTGCTCTGATGCACAGAACAAAGAGAGTTGCTGACATGAATATAGATAAGTAAACATTTCAAAGTAAAACATGCACAAATATTGCCTTGCTTTTGAAAGTTCTGCGAACCTTAACTCTCTTGGTGCAGTTTCCTCATCTGAACTGCTCAGCTGACTTCAAAACAAACATTACTATCTGAAAAACTACTGACTCACCAGCAGGCCAGAGGTGACAGAGATGATATTAGCGACAGTGTATTCAGTGGTGATATGCTGGCTGGGTTTGGAAATGTGGCGGAGGACATTCCCATGGACGATAGCTCCAAAGATGAAGTTAACATGGCCAACCAGGATGAGAACTAGCCCATTTTTCATCAGCCTTCTTGGCCCTTTGTCCTTATCTGGATAACAGAAATACAAGTGGCAAAATGTCACGAGTGAAAGCTTGAAACAGGTTTGTAAAAGGGGTTCTACAAATTTTGCATGATGTATTACATACCCCATTCTGTACAGCAATCAAAAACAATTTCTGTGAGGTCAACATATTTATCATGTACTATGTGGTTAATACTGGTATCATTATTCACGTTTTAAAAAGTCTAACATTTATCAGCAGATTGTTTGTGTTCAAAATAGACCATCTTTTTGTCTGAAATCACAGCTGATAAATCTACCTGCCAGTGCTCTCTGGTGTACAAACTGCAGCATGTCATGTTGAAGTTTCTAAACCACCACAGTTTGCAATGTGATGTTAGAAGGCAAATTCTCACAGTGGTGGAAGAAGTACTCAGGTCCTTTACTTAAGCAGAAGTAACAATACTACAGAGTCCAAATACTCTGTTACAAGTAAAAGGAACATTTACACAAAAATGCAAATGTAGAAAAATATTAGAAAAACATTCTTGAAAAAGTAAAACAATTCATTATATAAATGGTTATGATAATATTCGATTATAATTATTGACACATTATTGTATTTATCACTTCAGTGTTGCAACTGGTAAAAGTGGAGCTAATGTTACCTACCTTATATAGGCTACTTATAGTTTGAAGTGCTTTACAACTTTACATACGGAGTAGTTTGTGAATCTCCCAACTGTCTTGTGATTATACTGGATTTTATTTTATTCATGATTCTGAAAGCAAACGGTAAGTAATCAAATAGGCTAAATGTAGTGCAGTATAAAGTACAGCATTTGCCTCTAAAATGTAGTGAAGTCGAAGTATGAAAAGGCAGAAAATGTACAAGTACCTCAAAATTGTACTTAAATACAGATGGCTAACTGAATAAATGTTCTTAATTTCCAACACTGAATGCTCCTCAGTTTAATAACTTCCTGCCATTGTTTTGAATGACTGGCTTTCTAAAAAGCAGTATATTTATTTACATATTCATTTATATGCGGTGCGTGTATATTAGCATTACAAATCATTTGCATACAAAGGCTCCACTGAGTGACTCTGCTGAGCCACAGACTGACATAGTATGGGCATAAGTTCTTTAAATCGTTAGAATCTCTTCCCTTGTCACCGTGTTGACTGACTGCTATCGTCCTCTAAGGATAAATCAGAGACATTAGCGCTATAGACACACTAATACACGTCCTATCCGCAAAGTTTTAAAAACCGTAGCCTACCTGCAGGTTGTGGTCAGTTACATTCGTGGGGGAAAACTAGCTCCTGACGTTACATAACGAGGCGTTTTCAATTGCAACAACAACGCACCATCGGACAACCACTCACCAAACGTGCACATCTCTTCGTTAGATCAGATGTTCCACTTCGAATCAAATATCCACAGTTGTCGAGCTACTGTTCAGAAAAACCCCACAACCTTCCGTGGCCCACTTCCTGCATGACGTCACGGAATTCACCTGTGTATCACCTGCCGCTTACTGGACACTGAGGGGCGCAATAGCCAGCTTCAGATTCACCCTGAGAATCTTTGCTGTATTATTTTCACGCCACTACATCACTCACAAAACCTGTTTTCCAAAAACAAAAGAACAAAGTGCAGAACTTCACATTTATTTAAAAAAACAGACCTTTTGCAGGTTATGTCAGGATGCACATTTTAAGACACATTGGTATTAATGTCATGTAGAAAATATGATACAAAATACCATATCCAAATGGTCACAATTCTAGAGTAACAGGCCTCAGCTGCCCATTTCATACCACTATTGCATAACAGTTTCAACATCACTTATAATTTGGACAGAAAAGACAGCAGAGCATCAAGCCACTCTGTTGATCACATTGACTGGTTTCACCACGTCTCTATACAAGGAGTGGTGCATTTACATTCTACAGGCTGACCTAAGAACATATTGTTAGATTATACAGTTTTAGAAGTTCACAAACAAAAAATGCACTTAGATGGACCAAATGTTACATAAAGTACAGCAAAATGAAGATTGGAACACAATAGCTGCCTGAATACATAAAAAAAACAACTTCAGAATCACACGAGTGGGGCTCACTGGTGACATGTGCAGTATAATTCAGTTGTAACTCAACAGCCAGCATCAGGGGAACCCTGAGACACTTACAATATAATTTCAACAAAACACCAGAACAAGAGAAGTTATGTGGAATGACATCTAAGTTGTGGTTTTGTTTTTACATACATTTTGAGATGTGACTCTATTTGTATTCTTACTGTTTAAGATACTGATGTATCAAACACAGTAGTACCAGCTGTCCACAAACGGGTCTGGGACTAAATGACTTCCTGCTACAAGTTTAAACAAGATCTGTATGATGTAAAATGTTGCATTCAAATTCAGGAGCATCTGCAATCTGTGAAGGAAGATGTCAGTCCACTAGGTTCCAGCTTTATCAAATGCTCTGTTATCAAATGAAAACCAAAGCAGTGGAAACAAAATAGTAAACAAGGGAGATTATTATAGAAAACCAAAAGACAATATACAGTATGTGTAATATAAATAAAACATGGAACTCACACAGATATCAGGAAAAGGTCATGATCTTTCTATGGCATATTGCAACTGAGTTCAGTACACAAGTCTTGCATGAATGAATTTGAAAGGCAGAGTGGCACATGTGAATCCAACAAGCAGCAAATGGTAAAACAATGAATTAAAACAAAAAGACAGAGGAAAGACAACTTTAAGATGTGAGTAGAGGCCCACAAGAAAGCAAACCGTAACACTGAGTTCACAGTACCTCAAGGTAAACAAATAATCATCCTCCAGAGACGATGGCTGCTCAAGATGTGATGTACAGTAATGCACAGGCATTTTGTTCTGTAGCAAAGGCTTTTGACAAATATATATAATATCTGCTTTTAATTTAATCTGAGATACCAAAGAAAGAAAAACCTATATAGTATAAAAGACAGAAAAAATAAAACGTGTATAAAGGTTGAAAGTGTACTTGAAACAGTAACACGGTCAAGGGAGCAACTGCTAGTGAAGCCCATTGCTGAATGTTTCTTCTAGTAGAGAGGCGATTTTGTTTTGGTCCACCTGTTAAGAGAAGGCAAACATTTTCAACAATTGAGGACACTGATAAAGATGCACAATCTACAGTGTCACCCACAAAAATACAAGCCCATGCACGTGCACACACACAGCTGAAATTGTGAATCGCTCTATAACAGAAAAAAACACCCACCTCACTGATTAAGCCCAGCTGCACCAACTCTCCAGCCAACTCTTGAACATTCTCATCTGAAAACAGGAATTCACAGGCATGTAACAGCACTTTCATGTTAACTCTACTAGTCAGTCTCGTTTGGAGTTGAGCAAATACTATCTCATACACACACACCTGCAGCTAAGTAAAATTCATGGGCAAGATGCTGCTTTTAAATCCAAAGCTGTCCTTAAACACTAAAAATCACCAAATGCAACAACTGCTGTTGCTCTTTGCATCTCTGAACCCATTCTGTTGTTTGGTAGTGAGTTTTTATATCTTCAATATATTTAGAACAAATCAGCTCTGAATATCTGATATAACCTGTTCCATAACTAAACTATATAGATGCCTATATATGCCCCTCCTTTTAGTCCCTGACCTGTTTTTATAATAAACGATTAGTATCTAATACAAGTGCTTTTTACTGTTGCTTTAGGTCCTGCCCCCCATGTGAACGGAGGAGTTGTCAGGGTCTACTGATTTTTAATAACCTTGCTGTCAATTTGCAGCTGAACCAGGAATGTGGCTGGGACAAGACAAACAGGAGGAAGAGATGGCCTTTGCCATGAAGAAAAGAAAAACACCAGAAGTCCACAACTATATTACAAGGGGACTGACACTAGACCTGTGGGAGAGGCTTCTTTGCTTTTTGTGTCTCATGATCTGATATAAAATTGTCTAACAAAATTACTTTTTAGTTTTGAGAAAAATCAAGATTCACCTGAGAATGCATGGAGGTAGGGTGTGGGAGAGAAACACAAAAGGCCAAAGGGTGAAAGGTAAGTGGTTCAGTTAGGTGGTGACTGTGCGGTTTTGGACTCTGACTTGTTGATAAGGAAAGCTTAAACGATATCCCCTGATATCAGTGGGAGGGAGTGTTTACAAGGAGGAGTGTGACTCTGACTAGTGGGTGTGGGTGTGCATGAATGTGACATTACAGAAGGTAAGCCAGTGGTATTAGAGTGTGAGTGTGCAACAGTACAACCAATGTCAGAAACAGTGGAATAGAGAAAGAGCAGAAGAGATGAAGTCAAGTCAGTGTGTGTGTGAGTAAGAGTGAGGGGCAGGGAGATGAAAGCCTGGGGTGAGATAGACACATCCTGACAGAGGAGGTGACAGCTGTCAGCTGCAGCCTTTCACTACCTCAGCATTCCCCACACGCCCGCAACTTTATACATGCCTACCATACCTATGTGTGCATGTGCACACTGATTCATACTACTGTATAACCACAATTACAACAGTTGTGCATCATTTTCTCACTTGGTTTTGTCCATGGCAAAGCAGTGAGATAAAAATACTGAATTCTTGGTGTGTAGTTTACAAATTAGATTTTTAAAAAGATGAATCACTGTTGATTTACTGTTTATTTCATTTTTTTAGTGGTTATGAAATAAAACCACATAAAAACGTATATTATGTTTTTCAATTGCTGCACCGACTTGAGGTCACTAAAATTTTCATTGTATGTGTTACAATGACAATAAAGAATTATCTTATCTTATCTTAAAGGCTCTTTGGCCATTATTAAGAAAACAAAGTATGCAATCCAAATTAATGTTTCAAAATAAAAATGCCAGGTTTTCCAGACACATGAGCGACAGTCTCCCTGCCTAAAATAGTCTTGCACACTGTATATTGTGACACCATTCTAGTTTCTGGGATCTCACTTTTCTACATGCCTCACTGCAAACATATAGAGGTTCTGCATATTAAAGCTCTGTGTGTGGCAAAATATGATCACAGTGGACTTCGCTATGCAGTAATCTATAGATACAACATTCACATTTGTCATCACCTTCAGTCACACGTATTCTACCACTAACCCTCTAAACCCAAGCTGTAAACCTAAACTGTCCAGACTGACAAAATGACCATACTTCAGAAAAATCTCCCCACTCCGACGGTGTTGAAGTCCTGCACATTTTCACATGGAGAGAAAACAACATACACAAAACACACACCGTTCTCTCACCAGTGCAAACTACATATGCTCACTGGTATTTCATTCTTTTTAAACAGACGTAGAGGCGCATGTACTGGGACAAAGGTTAAGTGACACCCACACTGACACACACATCTGAAAGACTGGCCACTAATCACCTTTTTTCAGTCTTACCTACACAAGACACACTATCATTGATATCAAATTATGGCCCATTTGCAGAAGTCACTGCAATAGTGACTGACTAGAAGTTTCCAAGGTTTCTCCTTGTTATTTGAAAACATCTCCCCTATTTAGTTTTAGCACCAAATCTCATTTTTTACTCCAGGTTCACTGCTGATCTATCAAGACCAGACTGTGAAGTGTGGTGACAGAGAGCCGGTGGAACTTTCTGAGTGCGAGTACATTACTGCAAACACAAGGAACTGAATGTGTGAGGTACAGAGTTGATGAGTTGTTCTTACGAGGTAACATGTCACAGCTTAGATGTCTGTTCAGTTTATCCTCCAGTTTCAGCAGTAACGTCAGCTAAGAAAAAAGAAACAGACAACAACAGATATTACTGAATGGCTAGGAAATAAATGGTTGGCATAATATTATGTTGTTGGTCAAGGAGGGGAACTTATATGTTGCATTCCACATAGGCTAATCGCATATAGTTTAACATATGTCATTACAAACTTACGTGATACTTTGCTCCGTCCTCAACAGGTTCAATGTTGCATTGCATATGAATGACCTGCAGAAGGAGTATGAAAATCTATACATGAATGGTTCTCAACTAATGTTGCTACAATTTCAGAACAAACACTGTGATGACTATCTTCTTTTTTTAAATTGTAGCATAATCTGTCATACACACCCGCCGTGCCTCGAGCTCTGCTGGCTCAGGGGTGGGGGATTTGTCCAAGGGGATGACAACAGGAGACGGAACAGTCTCCTGTTGAGGCTGCTGAGGACAGGGCAGCCCAAATGCTGTCATTGGGTAAATACCGTTCCTGACCCAGCGAAGGGATGGAAAGACAATGAAAGTAGAAGTAGAAAACCACAGAAGATAGAAAGCAGACAAAAAGGTGAGAGGAGAAAGGAGTTGGAAAACAGATGGGAGTTAAATTAAAATGTGAATAAAGGAAGGTAAGAAACTGTTAAATTATGACATATGGAACAAAACAAAATTATGTCAGCAATATTTTGGTGACAGCTTATCTGCATAAATTCATTAGGAGGGCCCTGAGCCATGTCTAGAGAGAATACCTGAGTAATGGAGGCATAAAGGAAGTCACATAGTCCACTACCGCCCCTATGTGGCTGGATAGTGTTGTACCTTGGGGGCTTTAGGAAATGAAGTGCACAATGCAACAGACAACCGGGGTTTGCTTACTGTACATACAACATAGCTTAGCTTCTTACCTCACATCCTCCAAAAATTTATCAAGCTCCAAAGCAGGAAACTGCGAAAGCCTACAGAAACAAGAGCAGTCATACCTGATCATACTGTCTGGGTGTTAGAACCACAACATTCTGAATGTGAGAAGATCATTTAAACAAATTCAGTCAACCATTAGGACCATATTAGACAAAACTACATATACACTGTATGCCTACAGCAATAAAAACACACAACAACTAAGATAGGCGTGATTTTAACCATTTTCCCCACTCACATCTGCCAATTTAGTTTATTCATTGATTTAACAGGGATGATGCGTATTACATTTCTCTCAATATGCCAGAGCTAGCAAAGGAGGCAAATTTTAATCTGTAATTTATTAGCAAACATTTCTTCTTTTGCCAGTTCTGCTTCTGATTTGAACAGAACTATTATTATTAATAAATAAATCCCAATAAAGACTCCTGTTATTTCTGCTGCATCTGCATGGACTACCAGTGCAACATAAACACTGGTCTTTGGCGCTTACTTGAGTTGAACCTCTTTTGTTTCAGCGGTGACCAGGTCAGGGTCCAGGTTCTTGGTCATCTCCTCCAGGGCATTCTCAGGGATCATGTCTGGACATTTAGAAATCATTTAAGATTGGCTAAATAACACAGAATTTAGGATAAATTATCCATGGCTCAGTTGGCACAGTAGCTGATGATGCTTACGAAAGTGCACAGTACAACTGGAGAGCACATGTTGTATGAACATGCTGTTTTTGTAGGTGTGTAAGATGTCCCAGTCCTTAAATGTTTTGACAATATATAAAAATCCAGCAGACATAAAGCACCATCAGCACTCATTTTGGGTCTCAGAAAACTACTTGTCTAAAGGAGAAAAAAAATAGCCAGAGGAATATGTGGTGACTTTGCTGGTCTGCAGTTTGGTGTGACACTATGATAGAAATAA